GGGCACGGGAGAGACTGGGTGGGCCCTACTCTCTGCCGCGTGAGAGAGGAACTCAGCTCAAGGATCCTGGTGGCTGACCCTTCAGTTGTCTCCCTAGAGTTACAAACCGTAGAGTCTCCTCACGGGACTCTAGTCCATTCTGTCCTCTGAACTCTATTGCATTCCACCCTCCCTCCACTTGAGCCCAGGATAAGTGGTTGCAAACAAGTGTTAGTACATTCGCTCTTTACAAAAGTGCCTGTGTCTCTAGCAGACTTGCCTCGCTCCTTGTTGTATAGAATCCCTGCTGTTTTTCACAGTCAGATGTTAAGTGGCACCTCTTCTTAGTGTTCTGGGCTGGAGAGCCCAGCTTGGGGTTGAGACCCCACACTTCTTAGGGGATCCTCTCGCAGCTGGGATATCTGTCTGGAATCTCAGCTGCCACCCATGGGATTAGAAAGTACTCTTTTCCCATGTCTAGCCATCCTACCAGTCTCGAAGTGGCTTCTTTTGTAAATCCTTGGTTATAAGACTTCTCTTCCGCTAGTCTTCTGTTGGTTATCTATGTTGATTGTTCCATAATTCCAGTTGGTCCTTGGAGGAGGTGAATATGTCATCCACCTATTCTGCCGTCATCTTGGATTTGAGCCTTTTCCCTGTTATTTTTATAACATTGAATATTAGTGTTATTTATGTATGTTTTATTGCATAATGGATCTGCTTATGTTCTTAGTTAAGCTATGCTTTATTTCCAGTCAGCGTTCTTGGACATCCCACCAAGTGACATTATAATACAACTGTTTAACTCTTATTCTGGTTAAACGTAACACTTGTGATCATTGTATGTTAAGTTCAGTTCTGTCATAGCCAGCTTTACCAGAACAGGGATGACCAGAACCAGTATATCAGCCAGTCATGAGGTGGGCGGAGGGCATGTAAGGATGGATTCAATAACAGGTAGAAAGATAGTGCCAACATGTGGCTTTGAGAAAGTTCAATGTTGGAGAAGCTAAAGCCATCTATCCTCTAGAGATTTAGTCCTTTACAGATCTTTTAATTTTTATTTTTAGAGAGGGGGAAGGGAGGGAGAGAGGAAGAAAAACATTGCTAGGAGAGAGAAACATTGATTGGTTGCCTCTTGTACATCCCCCAACCAAGGACTGGACCTGCATCCCAGGCATGTGCTCTGACCAGGAATTGAACCAGTGACTTTTCTCTTTGCAGGACAATACCCATCCAACTGAGCCACACCAATCAAGGATATTTGGAGATTATGAGAAGACAAAGAAAGATCTTGGCCTGACATGAGCAAGAATATCAGACAGGGATCCAAGATAAGTCGTGTAAGAAAGCACTCCACCACAGAGTGATAAGGTAAGAATACTATTTTTGAATTCTATGTTCAGAGTTGACTCAGGGAAATCCAACTCCATGTTGAGCCCAGGAATTGTTGATTATAGACTCCTTATATTCTTAATACTTACGGAAAGGACTAGGGTAAGATTTTAGGTATAAGACAAGAAGCAAACTAAGGTTTAATGGGGCCTAAAGTTTATATTATACTAAGGGTTTCTTAAGAAAAAAGGACTAGAGTCACCAGTATAAGAGAAAGAAATGCATACTTATATAGGATAAGAAAATAAAATCTAACACTTTACTGTGTCCTTGGAGCTCAGGCCTCTTTTTCCTAAGATCCCCTAGGTAGTTTCTAAGAAGCGCTTTCTCAGGAATTGTTCTTTTTTTCCTCCCTCCCTTGTTTCCTTTCTTCCTTCCTTCCTTCCTTTGTTCTTTTGTTATCTTCAGTAATTTTTCTTGATTACTACCTGGCTTCATTTCCAACCTCAGATATTGTACAACTCCCAACCACTCCAAACATTCATGGAGTCTGTTGCAAATGACAGGAAATGATACTTCAACATTCTTAGGTTAAGGGTGAATCTGCCTCTTGGCACAGATGATTCCAGATAAAGGAGTTGAATAGTCCTAAAAAGCAGGAGAATGAGGAAACATAAGGGCAGAGAGGCATAAGAACTCATTAGAATCTGCTCTGACTGGTTTTGCTCCGTTGGTTGGTCCTCTTCCCCACAGAGCAAAGGATTGGTGGTTTGATTCTGGGTCAGGCTACATGTCTACATCGCAGATTTGGTCTGGTTGGGCCATGTATGAGGGGGCAACCAGTTGATGTTTCTCTCTCACATTGACGTGTCTCCCCCTCTCTTTTCCTCTCTCTAAAAAGTACATAAATAAATTTTAAAAAATCATTAGAATTTTTGTTGAAAATAATTTTTTGATATCACGGACAAAAGGGGACCACATACTAGGCATAACAAGCTCAAGAGAGCCCTGCATGGCAGTCTTACAAACTCAGAGAACTAAAGTAACCATGTCAAGGGGTACAGAACATGGGTACCCTCAGGGCAGTGGGGGGCCCACCATCCCCCCAAATCATGCAGGGAGGCAGGAGGCAGGTGGGGTGGAGAGGCCCACAGAGTGAAGAGTATAGCTTTAAGGTACATTATATAACAAAGGCAGATTAACAGCTCATGCCTACCTGAAAGGAAGATCTCAGAAGCTGCAGAATTGTGAAAGTGACTGCGAAAACATGCAGTGATCTGTGACAAAATGAGGGAGGAAGGGGATGGGGATGGAAGCTCATACAGCACCTACATTAGTTGTGTGAGGGAAGGCGCCCTCCCCAGATGCCCATACATTTTGGGGAACTCTTGCCCTGACTGAAGATGGCAGCCAAAAGAAGGTCAAAGACACTGAGGAGCTGACAAAAGTGGTGAACTCTAACAACCACAGGAAGTGCTGGCTATTAGATCATGCAGGAAGTTCTGAGGTGAGCATTTAAAATTGGAGTGGGAGGTCTTGATGGGGGACTCATATGTTGGAAAACTTTTAGTTTCAGGTAATAATAATAAGCTTAGTAATCATTGTATGTAAAAAGCCATCATTTCAGGAACTGAAGGTATGACCCACCTTGACCCCAGGACACCATAAACAGTTCCACCTTTGTGCACCAGGAGGACTGCGAGCAAAGAGGGTGGTATCTGCGCCATTGTACCCCAGGATGAGGTGCCCACAGTCCAGGACACAGATAAAGACCACCGCCCAGGGCACAGATGAAAGAATGCTGCAGCTTTTTATCTGATTAACTTTTCCCCTGAATTCCAATCCCCTTACCTATACTTTTCTTCTCCTTATAAAAAAGGTCGGTTTAAAATGGAATTTAAGACAGTCTGTTAGGGTACAAACCCACCGAATTTTCAGGTCGCCAGCCATTTGAATAAAGCACCCATAAAGATTCAACCCCTGTCTCTGCTTCTTGGGTCTGGTGGGTGACAGGCAGTACGAACGCCAGCTTTTCCGGCTGCAGTCTGACGGTCTGTCTTCCTGAGGTCTGCCTGAGGTCTGCCTGAAGAAGGTGGTGACAGAGCTAATGGAGCTGCGGGAACCTGCCTGGCCACCCAGAGTCCTGAGAGATTCTTGGAGCTGAGCTGTGACAGGGAAGGCAGAGCTGCAGACTTCTGCTTTCCTGAAGGATGTACACAGCAGTCACCCTCCTGCCTCTGAAACAGTGTAACATGGCACAAGGTTTCCTGAACCACTACATGGAGACTGAGAACAGTGCACCCCAGAAGGGAGCTGCTCTGAGAGGACTCTGAAACTTAGAAGTACACATTCCAGAGAGGATGGAGATCTGTTTGTGTGACTGGCTGATGGACGGATAAGGATATGGGGAACTTCTGGGTAGGATTTTGGCTTGTAGTCTTTTGGGAAGATAAAATATATATATTTTTTTAGTTTATAAATTAAATGCTCACATTTGCTATTGTTAATAAATTGTTCTAACTTTAAAACATAGAAAATATCACTACTTTATTTTTATAGTTACAATGGTGAAAAAGTGCTGGGTCTTGTGGGAAAGGAGGGCTCTCAGCAAGAGTGCTCTCAGGCCCCTAAGTTTGGGATCCTGTTGGTAAAAACTTGTTCCCTTCAACACAAATTGTTTGAGTCATGTAGATTCAAGATGCCAAGTAGCTGAGCCCCAGTCTGCAAGGTTACAACCACATAGGATTGTGTGAGATTAAAGCTTTTTAACTAAAAGCAGTTTATGGAGGCGGGGGCGGGGGGTGGGGGTGTGCGGTGTAGTCATCTCCTAGGCAGGAATCTTCCCTGACAAAAATCAGCCTTTACTTTGGCTGAGCCTGTCTGTTGTCTTTTTGCATCTATGACAACATACCTCTGGAATGTAAAGGTAATTTCCCTTTTTCAAACTCTTTGCACAACCACCAGCACCAGAGCAGGGACTACAAATCCTGTCATTGTTATTGTGTTTATTGTTGACTTTTAACTATCCTGTACCCAACTATGTAAAAGAAGTACATGTCTATAATTTTACCTTTTTATCCAATCCCAGAGGTTTCCCTGCTTTGCCTTCTCCCACCTTCCTAATATATCACCTACTCTTTTGATTGTAATGTATAAAATAAGGGGCAGAACTTTCATTTTCTGGAGCATTTCTTTAATCCATTGAATTTTGTTTCCCAGTAATTTTTGTCAGTTTGGTCAAGAAAACTCATAAAAATTCTTACAGGTTTGGATATTTCTTACATTGACAGTACTATATTTTGGTTAATCACAATGGCATACTGGTGTCACATTTGCCAACAAATATGTCATAGCTTGGAACTTTGGTAAAATATGTCATAGCTTGAAACTTCTGTAAAATATGTTTGGAAGGCTGGATGCTGAAGCCACAAACTTCTGCTAACCTCTTACAGTGACTCATGGCCTAGACAGCTCTATCCAAATCAGCGCAACCAGTCATAAAACATCTGCTAGGATCATCTCTGGAATACTGTGAGCACTCTGGCTCTCTTTACTCTTTTGGCTTGCTCTTCTTACTTTGAATCTGGCTGAATTTAGTTGTACAACTGACATAATTTTGCTAGGTACAGGGTTTCACAATTCAGATCTACCTAGGGATTGTGAACAAAAAAAAGGGGAATGTTCCAGTGCTCGCTTTGGCAGCACATACACTAAAGTTGAAATAATACAGAGATCAGCATGGGCCCTGCACAAAGATGACATGAAAATTTGTGAAGTATTCCATATTTCTAAAAGAAGAAAGAATAAAAGAAAAAAAAGAAAAATGGGGTTCCAGAGAAAGCAGTCAGGCCATGGTGGGTAGTCACACCCCAGGCATATAACTCCTTTGTTCCCCTCCTTTTTCTGCAGGTGTAGTCCCCTATTCCATCTGGGTTGCCATGAAAACAGACAGAAAGAGCAGTGATTTTTTTTCATTCACATCCTAATGGAAACTAAAAGAATAATGTCAGATTGCTCACGGTCCATCAATGGGTGCAGATAACTTTTTAGTAAAAGGTTTATCTTTGATTTAATCAAGCCCTGTGCATTGTTTCTGTGCATCTAGATTAACATACCTTTGAGGTAAACCATAACCACCCTCAAGAGAACACATTATTTTAACTATCCTATAATCCGGTCCCCACCTTGCTTCCCCCACCCTTCCGCCCTCCTGTATTCTTCCTTACCTCCCTTCCTCAATTTCAAATACATAGAAGAAGCTGCAAAATTGTTATTCTAGGAAGCATTTTGAGATTTACTCCCCTGGCATATGTTGGGTGAAGAAACCTATTTTGTTTATCATATGTTAAGCAGTTCTCTTTTATTTTCTCATACCAATTATGTTTGGATATCCTACTCTTGAAAAAGTCACCTTGGAAATTTTTCCCCTCAAGTTGTGGCTTAAAATATTAAAGAAAAAAGTGCTGGGACTCACAGTATATGCTATAAGCCTCTCATACACTTGTACAGACAGTACCTTCCCCTGGGTGGAAACTTGCTTACCTGCAATTCAAAGGCCACCCACTAACAGTGGCAGGAGAGGCCTGATTTAAAAGGAAGAGTCACAGAATGGAGGCTCTGCTTCACAGTGTCCTCCACACCCTCTCTCCAGTTTGTATCTTACAGGCGCTGTAGTTTCTTCTCCCATCTAAGACCCTGATCTCAAATTCTTATCCCCAGTGGCTTTTTCTCATGCCTCCTCTTATTTCCCAAGTCTCTCTTCCATAGAATTGTAATTGCCTTACTTTGTCAGTCTTCTTTTCTGACTCCTCCAGCCCCTGCTCCCTCCCTCCACTGCCCTGCCCCCACCCACAAAAGTCTGTTTTCTCTTAGTTTCAGCTCTTGGTAGTTTGCCTCTCCTCATTTATTTCATTTAACCTCTCCCTCACTTTCTACACCCAGAACTGTTAACACGTTCCCAAGGCTTTATCTCTCATTCATTCAACAAATATTCATTGAATATTTACTCTTACACCCACATTCATACCAACGAATTTTGTTGGCTGTACATTCAAAAATCTATTTAGAAACTGACTTGCTTTTACTTCTACCAGCCAGGCTGAAACCACCGTCATCTTCTGGACCACTGCATTAACCTCCAAGTTGGTATCAGGCCTTGTGTTTAAATTTCTCATGCATCTCCCTTAGTCTTAGTCTAACCCAGCATCTGGACTCTGTGACCCTTTTAAACCTTACATAAGATTAAGTCGCTGCTGTCTGCTTATAACCATCCCAATGGCCCTCTCTCTCCCCCAATTGTGGTAGGAACAACTTTTTAAGTGTTGTTAATACATTAGCGTTATCTAAAGATATAATGTTGTATAACAGATCTAGAATTTATACATCTAGCATAATGGAAATCTTATACCAGTTGATTAGTAGCTCCCTCTCCCATCCTCCCCCCATCCACTGGCAACCACCATTCTATTCTTCTGCTTTTATGAGTTACTTTGACTATTTTAGATATAAGTGGAATCATGCAGTATTTGTCCTTCTGTGGCTGGCTTATTTCACTTAGCCTAATGTTCTCAAGGCCAGAGTTGTTACCAGGCTCTACCTGAATCACACTGCATATGTTTATCCCTCCCTCTTTTTTTACTTCTCTGGCTTCATCTCCTACACATTTTATAGGCATTGAACTCCTGCTCATTGCCCCCTTCCTCAGTTTTAACACTTCCTATATGTTCTGGCCTCAGAAACCACTTCTTTCTGTCACCACTTTCAGGTATTTTCTTAAGCATCACCTTCTCAGTGACGCCTTTCAGGGACCCTGTAGTCAAACTTTCAGCAGCCTACTCTTTCTTGGTTCTTTTGTAGTTAACTTTCCTGATTTATTTTCTCTCTACCACTTTCACCATTATATATTTATCTCTTTCATTATATAAGAGTAAAAACTATAAAAAGAGATGTTTGTTTTTTCGATATATTTGTTTTACCAGCATCTGGAGCAGTGCTTAACACATAGTAGGTACGTAGGCACACAATGTTTATTATTTTTTATTTTTTTAAGTACATTTTATTGATTATGCTCTTACAGCTGTCCCATTCCCTGCCCCCTTGGGCCCCTCCACCTAGTGCTCCCCTTCCCTCCAGCATTGCCCCCCACCCTGCCTTAGTTCATGTCCATGGGTGGTGCATATTTAAGTTCTTCAGCTTCTCCCTTTCCTATACTGTTCTTAACATCCCACTGTATATTTTGTTCCTACCAATTATGCTTCTTGATCCCTACACCATTTCCCTCTTCTTCCCCTTCCCCCTTCCAGCTGATAACCCTCCAAATGATCCCCAAACCTATGATTCTGTTCCTGTTCTGGTTGTTTATTTAATTATTTTGTTTTTATTTTTATTTTTTGTAAAATAATATTTCAATACAGTATTTTATTTATTTATTTTTAGAGAGGGGAAGTAAGGGAGAAAGAGAGGGAGAGAAATATCAATTGGCTGCCTCCTGCAAACCCCTTACTGAGGGCCTGGCCCTCACCCAGGCATGTGCCCTGGCCAGGAATCAAACCAACAGCCTTTCTGTTCACAGGCCAGTACTCAATAGACTGAGCCACACCAGCCAGGGCTGTTTTTATTTTTTTTTTTAGATTCAGTTGTTGATAGTTGTGTTCATTGTCATTTTAATATTCACAGTTTTAATCTTTTTCATTTTCTTAAATAAGTCCCTTTAACATTTCATGTAATAAGTGACTGGTGATGACAAATTCCTTTAGCTTTACCTTGTCTGGGAAGCTCTTTGTCTGCTCTTCCATTCTCAATGATAGCTTTGCTGGATAGAGTCATCTTGGTTGTAGGTCCTTGCTTTTCATCACTTTGAGTACTTCTTCCCAGCCTCTTTTTGCCTGCAAAGTTTCTTTTGAGTAATCAGCTGACAATGTTATGAGAACTCTTTTGTAGGTAACTCTCTGTTTTTCTCTTGCTGCTTATAAGTTTCTTTCTTTATCTTTAACTCGTGGCATTTTAATTATGTTGTGTCTTGGTATGGTCTTCTTTGGGTCCAACTTGATTGGAACTCTCTCTTTCCTGGACTGGTATGTCTATTTCTTTCACCAAATTAGGGAAGTCTTCTTTCATTATTTTTTCAAACAGATTTCCAATTTCTTGTTTCTTCTCTTCTGCTTCTTGCACCCCTACAATGCGAATATTGGACCTCTTGAAGTTGTCCTAGAAACTGCTTATACTAACCTCGTTTTTTTGGATTCTTTCTTCTTCTTCTTGTTCTGATTGGTTGTTTTTTATTTCCTTATGTTCCAAATCATTTATCTGATTCTCAGTTTCATTTGCTCTACTGTTGTTTTCCTGTAAATTGTTCTTTATTTCAATTAGTGAATCCCTCATTTTGGACTGATCTTTTTTATGTTGCTGAGGCCCTCACTAAGTTCTTTGAGCATCCTTATAAACTGCGTTTTGAACTCTACACCTCATAGATTGTTTATTTCCATATGGTTTAGCTCTTTTTCTGGAGTTTTGATCTGTTCTTTTATTTGGGTCATGTGTCTTTGCCTCTTTGTTTTGGCAGCCTCCCTGTGTGTATTTCTATGTATTAGGTAGAGCGGCTTTGACTCCATGTCTTGGTAGTATGTCCTATTGTAGTAGGTGTCCCGTAGGGTTCAGTGGCACAGCCTCCCGGTATAACCCAAGCTGGGTATTTGAGGTGCACCCTTCATGTGAGCTGAGTGCATCTTCCTCTTGTAGCTGAGCCTTGGTTGCTGTTGGCAGATCAATGGAAGGAATTTACCCAGGCCAGTGAGCTGCAATTATTGGCTGTGACCATTTAGTAGCAACCTCTGCCCTCCGTGGAGGATCAGCCGAGCAAGGGCAGTGTGGTGGTACTCTGACATGGTCTGCAGCTGTCCACTGGATGCACTGGCCCTGGGGTTTTCTGGGTGCTACAGGCCAAGATCAGCTGTTACCTGTGTTTTGCCCCAGTGGCGCCCTTCCTGAGCTATAAAGCAATCTGAGGAGGCTGCTACTTGTGCTGGGCTTGGAGATTCCCAGATGGTGCCAAGCTGTGAAACTAATCTGGCTGTTGCTAGTGCCCAGCCTTGAGCTCCCTGAGACCAGCTGTTGTTTGTTTGATAGGATTTAGAAAGCTGTGAAACATGATCCAAGATCAGTTATTCATATCGATAAGCAGCTTGGGTGGGCCCAGAAATGGTGTGGTGTGGTGTGGAGTCTCTGGGGATCTCCAAGGTGGATCTGGATCAAACAGTGTTATCCTGGTTGATGGAGTCTCAAATATGGCACCAGCCTGCCAGCTCTGTGGTTCTGTAAAGGGGGGTGAGGGGCTCAGAAAAGGGCCAATGGCCTCTGCTTGCTCTAGCACTAGACCCTTCAGCCTCTCCCAGCACGTCACTGGTACCCTTCAAGCTCCTACCCTGGTGTTAGAACTCATAGTGGATGAGTCTGAGTAGGTGAGTCCATGTGGGTTTTTTAAGAGGAGCTGGCTCCAGAAGTTTCTTCCACCAACTCAATCCCCACTGGTTTTTGCAGCCAGAGTTGTGGGAACTTATGTTCCTGGCAGTGGACCTCTGGGCTGGGGGGTCTAGTGTGGGGCTGGGACTACTTGCTCCTTCCTAAATTTTTATACACCAACATGTGGGTGAGAGACTAGCCCATGCTCTGTCTGTACCCCTCCTACCAGTTTTGATGCGTATGGTTTCTATAATTCTGTAGTTGTTAGACTACCTTCAACTTGATATCTGAAGTTTCTGAGTGATGATTATTCTATATTTTAGATGTAATTTTGATGTGGTTGTGCAAAGAGGCAAACCACATCTGCCTATGGTCACCATCTTGATCGGAAGCCCCCAGGTACACAATGGTTTTTAAATGAACAAATGAATGAATGAATACATGCTACTATGTGTCAGTTATTTAGTATACAATAATGCAAAAAATTAGATCTTGCCCTCCTCTAATTAACAAACTAATAAAAATCTGTCAAAAAAAACCTAGAGAAGTTTGTTTAAAGAGTTAGAAAGCATGGAACATGGATACCTAAGCCAGCCTCAACCTAGGGTAGGGTGAGGTACTCAAGTTGGGCTTCCTGTAGGAGGCGGTATATGAGTCTGACCGAAGTTAGCCCAATGAAGGAAGGAGGAGAGGTTTGGAGAGATTTAGATAGAAAGACAACATGAATAAGGCAAACTCTAGTCAGCTACCGTAGTAGATTTGTACTGTACCCATTACTGGCTAACTTATCTTTCCTTTATCACTTCATGTTCAAGTACCCTTTTCCTTCAAGCTCCCAACAAACTGCTAGTCTTTTTTTTTTTTTTTTAATTTATTTACTCATTTTTAGAGAGAGGTGAAAGGAAGGAGAGAGGGAAACATCAATGTGTGGTTGCCTCTTGTGTGCCCCCTACTGGGGACCTGGCCCGCAACCCAGCCATGTGCCCTGACTGGGACTTGAACTTTGACCCTTTGGTTTCCAGGCCGGTGCTCAGTCCACTGAGCGACACCAGCCATGGCACAAACTGCTGGTGTTTAAGTCTTGGTTCAGTATTGGCCTCTGGAAGAACCCAATTGAAGACTGTGATTCTTGCTTAAACTCTAGAGATTGAAAATGACAGCCATTGTGAGATAATTAAGCAAACTAGATTGGTTGGATATAGTATATAGGTAGTAGTGATTATATTTGGTAGCAAAAAGATTTGAATTCTATGTTAAGGAATTTGAACTGTTTCCAAATTCCTTATGAAATCTTTGAGTATGGGGATGAAGTAATCGAAAGGATATTTGAGTATGATGAATCTACCTGTGGTATCTAATGTTATAATACTGGGGGCAGGGAGAGATTACAGGAAGGAAACAGTTCAAACTACAGAATTAGGGTATATTCAGAAGTATATTAGTGAGGTGGCAGTGAGCATGGAAAGAAATAGATGGAGAGAAAATGTGAAGGGAAAAGAGGACAGGATTTGGTGCTAAGCGGTGTGTGTGATGAGGGAATGTGAGTTAGAAAGCAGCAGTATCATTAACAGAGATGAGGAAAGTGAGTGAGTTCTGGATTTGATGAGTTAAAGACATTTGGACTTCGTGTTAGTGGAATGTCTAAGTAGAGATATTCAGCAGACAGCTGGAAATACAAGAAGGCAGGAAGGATTTTATTTCAGAATTGAGGCTCTTTCAGATGGCGATACATGTGTCTGGCTATTTTGAAAACCCCAAAGAAACACTTGCTTTATACAATTCTTATCCTGACCTGTGACTCTCAATAGAGTAGGGTGAATGTTATGGTAACCTGAAATGATTGGCAGGTTTTGCAGTAGAAGCGCACACACATACACTTGTGATGTGGAGAGGCCATAAATGTGCATGAGGGCACGAGGGCATGAGGGAGGGCAAAAAGCTAGGTTGTAGGCATTCAAATTCTGAAAGATACTGGGCAACCAGGGAAGCAAGAAGTCAAGTTCAAGGAATTTGGCAGAGTTCAAGTGCAGTAGACAAGTTTGGAATTCTGGAGGCTGAGATCTGGCCAAAAGACCAGCCATTTGTAGCAGAGCCCTCAGACTCAGAGGACTAATGTTATTTACCTTTTGCCTAGTTTTAAAGAGTGATGCTGGCCACACACTGGAGGGTGTTATTAAGGCATCCATCTCTTAGATTTTTCTTCTTTGGGCTGAATAAACCTCATTTCATTCTTCTCACAGGTCATACTTTCCATTTAATTATTTGTTACTCTTCTCTGAACTTTCTCCAATTTTCCTTTTAAAATATTGAGACCAAACCTTCAAAACACAGTAACAACTGGCTTAGTTCTGGGCACAGGAAATGATTCTTTTTCTAAAATGTCACACACCAGGCAACATTTCTTTTCACGTTTTTCCACCTGTTTTTTATGCAACCATTTAGTGTTCATCTTATCTAGATCCCATGTTAATTTGAGACAAAATGCGGTAATAGAATATATCTTTTTCAATAATTTTTTTTGTTTTGTTTTCAAAGGTTCAGCGTTGTAAATGGTATTGGCTCATATCAGTAGTTTACAAAATACTGCCGTACTGCCAGTCTGATTCCTTTTGTCCCGTAAGACAGCCCATGTCACGAAATATGTAAGGCTCTATCTTCACGCTTTCGCCTTAAATTGTATTTTGCTCTGCTCATCCTAACAGATTAAACACTGGGCTAGCTAAAATGTTATGAGAAGTAATACAGAAAAATGAAATGTGCTTAGACAGGAATCAAAACTGCAAGCAGAGGAGAACGCGCCAAGGAGCCGGGAGATGACTGAGACATCTCTGGGAGTAATTTTCCATGTGGACTGAAGGACGATCTTGTAAGGCACAGCCCCAGGTTACACCGCTGGGCTCCAATTCTGCAGGATTTACAAGCCATTACTGGAGAGAGTCTACGGCTCTCCTGGCACTGGAGGAGGAGGAAGAAATGTTCATGGGACAATAAAAACTTTCAGTTTACAGAGTAATAAAAACGGAGTCTTTGTTTTGCTGGGTGAAGATATGTGACCCCTGAGTTTAACAGGGGTGGGGGTGGAGGATCTGTTTCAACGCTGGCTAGGTGCCACTAAGCCCAGATTGCTGAGGACTTTCAGCCACTTCTGACAAGGTAGTATCCAAGGCCAGAGAAGGGCTAAGTCTCGCTTTTGGAGGCTAATGGGAAGGAAGCATTTGGTGCTGGGGCAGCAGAGGTAAGCGAGGGGGAGCGCCGCAGGCCCGCCAGTCTGCCCGCAGACGCCGACGGCTCCTCCCCGTTCTCTCAGGCCCACTCCCAAATTAAAGTGCTTGCTTCCCGGTTCAAGCCAGAGCCCTTCGTGAGCCTCTACACGTAGCCGCAGACAGTTCCCTAAAAAGGCCGGCGTTGAGCAAACAATCCCAGACGTGCGGCGGAGAAGCAGAGCGGAGGCGACCGCCAGGCCGCACGCAGCTGAGCGCGGGGTCAGCCGCGGCCAATAGTAGGGGCGCGGCGCGGCCCGCCCTGTCGCCTCCCACTCGGAGAGCCTATAAGTCGCCCAGAGTGCCTCCGCGACGGCCTGATTCTGGGTGCGGGCTCGCTGCACGCACTTAGCTGGCTAGCTAGCACCGCAATCTTTGTCTCGGGGCGGAACCAGAGGCTCTCCGGGTTCTCGCGAGAAGCTCGCGGCTGCTGGGTCGTGCGGTGTCCTAGCCCCCGCGGGCCCTTGAGGGGCCGAAGATGGGGGTGTGCATGGTGAAACCTCAGCTCCTGTGGCTGGTCTTCGTCCTCCAGCCCTGGAAACCCTGCTTAGGTGCGGACCCGGAGAAGCCCTCCAGCATCCCCACAGGTGAGCACTCCCGCGGCCCGCCCCCGTCCATGAGGCTTGTCGTGGGGGGCAGTTCATTCATCCTTCATCCCTTGGCGCGGGGCTTGCCAGGTGAGTAGGTGGAGAACTCGTTCCTCCCCAGCACCGCAGACGTGAGTGCAGACTTGACGATCCCCAGGCCTGCTGATGGGAGTGGGGTGACGGCCCCGCTGCCCCAGGACCGAGGTGTGGGTCCCGCAGGGAGTGGGATTCACGGCCCTCCCCGGGCTCTGGAGTTCTCAGTAACCTGGCAGCGCAGGAGTTTCTGTACTGCCCAAGTCCGGGCTCCCTTTTGGTCTTGCAGGGCACTGGGTACCAACACCTTCTCTGCAACTCTCCTTTCTCCTCCTTGATTTGGCATGATTTATCCGTGTTGGACGAGGCAGTATTCCTTCTGTGACCTAAACACGGGGCTCAGTGTACTTTCTGATTGATGGTGACACATTCCTTCCAAGCGCCCCAGGAAGCAGCCGGTAACACCTAACTCTTGCCAAAAACAACGCTCAAAACCTTGGTTGTTTTCAGTAAGGCTGCCTAGTTACCCAGTACCTTTAGGCAGCAGCTTTCCTCCTTGGGGATTTAGAGGGGAAACTGTGGACACACAGCTTCTCCCGTTAGCCACTCTTTTCCTAAACCTGGTGCCGGTTCTTGTTTTCAGAAGCTGGAACTGCAGTTAATAGTTGAGACAAGTTCATGTAAAACAAAACTTTTTACGTTTAGCTAGATTTAAAGACAGTCTCACCATATGTTTGTCTAAACATATTTTGCTGCCATTCGTCACATATGAGGTGTCCTTGGAGTTTTCCATTTTTGTGTTTTAACTCTGCTCAATTGTCTAAAATTAGGTCTTGCATATAAATGCCCTACTATACTTTTTAAAAAAATTAGGATCATTTTGGTACTTTTTTTTTTTTTTTTGTAAGTGCGTAGGGCACTTTTCTGCTTGAATTTTGCTTAACACAAAGACAGAAATTTCTATTTCAGGCTTACTCTCCGAAGCTGAATTTGATGTAGAGTTTAGCTAATCCATGTAGCAATAGTTTTGCCTTCATCTTTAAGCGTTTCAGAAAACTTCAATGGCTAAGCCTCCCATCTTTCTACATTCCTACTTTGTTAGCTTGAGAAACCGGCATTCAAATGGATTTCTGTCAGTTAACATGATGCTTTTTTTTTCTTTCAGATATATGTGATGGTTTTCAAATGGATTTCTTTTTAAAAAAATATGTATTCATTTTAGAGAGGGAGAGAGAAAGAGAAACATCGATTTGTTCCAATTATTTATGCATTCATTGGTTGCTTCTTGTATGTGCCCTCCCTCACCATGGATGGAACCTGCAACCTTGGAGTATTGGGAGGATGCTCTAACCAACTGAACTACCTGGCAAGGGCTGAAATGGATTTCTGAACCCTGTATAGTTCCTTTAAATTTGAACTGATTTTTCCCCTAACTTTGAAGTTTTCTTTTAGTGTAATAGCTAGAAAATAGACAAGTAAAAGCATTCTGCAAACTTGGAAATGGAGGCATTAAAAAAAAATTCACCAGGAAAATGACTTTTTGCAAAACACCCGAGGAAACTTAGTGGGAAATAAAATAACCTCTAAGGGCTTTGCACTTTTAGAGGAACCTCTTCTGCCTTTGTCTATTTTATTTCTCTTAATCACCAGCACCCTTTACTTTTTATAGAAGGCATTTCTTCCTTGCTGCCTTTAAGTGTACAGTCCAAATCATCTTTCCTTCCCACTTTGGCTTTTCAATTTCATGTACTTGGACAATAAAGTTTTAATGCACTGTAACATCAGAGAAAGGGAATTTCAGATGTGAATGATTTCCTTAGAAAATGACTACATAAAACCCACTGCTGAAATCTAAGGACTAGTTGCTTTTGGTGGGTAGGCATGGTGAATTATGTTATCACCTAAATGCAGGACAAATATTAAATTGTAATAGAGCTAGCAGTAGACGGTTTGATTATGAATTTTCGTGTAGGCAGTGTGATAAGCTAATAAATATAGATTGTACATTGCTTGATAACATGGCTAGACTCCTGGACTGTTCCTTCTCCCTAAAATATTTCAATTGAAAATTACTAAATTGGAAACTTATATTTATGTATGTATTGGGTTGGCCAAAAAGTCTATTACTCTAGTAGTGCCTACTTGTCTTTAATTCACCCAAAACAAATATGTTAGATTGTATTGTGACAGCTGTCATATCGGTGTAAAGGTAAAAGCACAACCAAAACACACAAAAAAGCACTTGTGCAGTATATGGAGAAGGTGTTGTGACTGATCAAACAAGCAAAAGTGGTTTGCGAAGTTTCTTAGTACTACTGGCATTTTGGCCAAATAATTCTTTGCTGTGGGGCTGTATTATGCATTGGAAGATGTTTAGCAGCACCCCTGGCCTCTACCCACTAGGAGTCAATAGTGGGAGATAGCCAACATACTCAAAATATCCAAATCAATTAAAAGTATTGGTGAAAATGAAAAGCGTCTTTTATTTTGTGGAAAAAAATCAGATGGATTTTTTGGCTTACCCAGTACATATCAAGCAAACTTTAGACTCTTAAGTTTTCTTGCTTAATAGGTTTGTAAGTAAAGTGCTTATTGTCTCTAACTCCCTGTGTTTGTCACCATGTTCCAGCTAGCCATAAAGAAATAGATTAGACTAGAGTTTTTTGGCCTTATTGACATTTGAGTCAGATAATTATTGATTGTGGCTGCTGTTCTGTTCATTGTACAATGTTTAACAGCATCTTTCTCCTCTGCCCACTAAGATGCCAGGAGCACCATCCTCCAGGTGTGAGAAAGAAAACTCTCAAAATGAAAATTGGCCCAATGTCTTCTGAAGGGTTGAAAATTACTGGATTAGACAAACCTATGTGTATTTGAAGCAATGTAGCATTAGAGTGTTGCTGGAATGATAATAGCAAGTTTTTTTTTAAAGCAAATATTTTTAGTGATTTTCCATTTTTCCACTGTAGTAGGGAATGTGCTAGTTGAAGCACATTAATCAGAATTTGGAATATAGTTCTTTTCTAGCTTTGATGCTGGGTATTGACCAGATTTGAGAACATTGCTTTTTGTTATATTTACTGAGTGTTCTGCTGTGTGCTGTTTTTATTTCTTTTCGGTTGCCACTTTGTTCTTAGCATGGAAGTAATCTAAACAAGATTCTGGTAAAAATAATTTTTCTGCTAAAATTTTTTATAGGAATTTCAAGAAAATTAAAATTTTCTTTTATCCCCATGGGAGCTTTCATGACAACACCCTCCTAATGAGGGTAAAAAAAAAATCAGGTTCTTACCTTGGTTTATCTTTCCTGCCTGTTTCTACCTTCCAGATGAGAGGAGAGGAGTGGCTATATTCCTACCAAACATTAGTAACCGGGTCTCCAGACCAGAATCAAAATTTGTGTGTGTTTTGTAAGGCACCTTAACTATTTCATAATCTAAATTGGGCAGAAACCAAGTTCTGGGCAAAAATGGAGGAAATGGTTTCAGATGTTTCTCTTGAGACCAGTATTTTTCAACCATGTTCATTTACAAACTCTTTAATTTACTCTGGCACATTGAAGGAGGAAAGGAGAGGTTTGTCCCTATCTGCTGATGTAAACCAGCAATTTATGGGGTGGAGAGAGAAAGCAAGGTCCTGGAGAAACCCCTGGAAGGAAGAGAGAGAGGCTGTCCTCTGTGCACTTTCTCCGTCTTGGGCTCTAGTCACATTCATTAGTACGATTCATTAGCATTAAAGAGACTGTGCCTTTTATTTCATAGTATAAACACAGACATATGAAACAGCTCTAGACAATGTGAAGATAGGAAATAAAAATTAAATTGAGATACCCTTTTCTACCCATCATATTGGCTAAAGCATTTTAAAATGAACTCTGAATATACTAAGTGCTGTAAGGATGAGAACTCTCAGACTGTTGTTGATGGAACAACATCTTTGGAGAACAATTTAGTAATGTCTAGTGGCATTAAGAATCCTCATATCCTACAATCCTGTACTACAGTCAGCCCTCTGTAACCATGGGTTCTATATCCAAGGATTCCATATCCTCAGAATCAGCTGACTGTGGACTGGGAACAGTATTTTCGATCTGCACGTAGGAATCCACAGGTGCAGAGGGCTGACTGCATACATTTTTTTGTTTGTTTTACAAGAAAAGACTGCTTTAATTTCCAAATTTTTGGAAATATTTTGCATACATTGTTGTACACCCTTTTATATAATGGATTTGAGCATCCGTGGATTGTGGAGTCTGTGAGGATTCTGGAACTAATTCCCTGCAGATACAAGGGGCAACTGTACTCTCAAATTTCTGTGTCTGCCTGTTCCTGAAATTCTGTTTAAATTTAACTCCTAGGAAATTCTTCCTCTTACTATCTTTTGTTTGGCTCTCTTTTGAACTTCTTAAGGCAGCTGGTTTATACAAATCATAACTGCTTTGTATAATAAATGTTTATGTTTAATAAATTATAAATTCTTAGAAGTAAGGACTGAGTCTTAGTCATCTTTGTGCTCTTCACAGTACCTTCCCTGTTTTTTGAACACAAAGAAGAGTCTCAATTTATGTTTCTTTAGTTTTTGGCCCACCTAGAGAAACATGAAAAATGGCATGCAGTCAGTGAGATTGCTAGCTGCTGCTTTTCCCAGGATTTTAATTAAATTCACTGAGCTTCCTTTCTGTACCCCAGGACTTATACGCTACCATTGTCTAGCAATTTACCAATGAATCATCAGGTAAGGCCTTGTTTCTGAACTGTGGTTGGCAACTCTTCTCCGTGGTGTTTTATATGTGTAGGATATATACAATTATAAAATTTACAGATATAAAATTATATATGTATTTGGTTGAATATACAGGACACTTCACAAATATGTGTCTCATCCTTGCACAGGGGCCATGTTAATCTCTGTATTGTTCCAGTTTTAGTATATGCACTGCTGGAGCGAGCACTCCATGTTTTATTTTTTGTTCTACCTTTCTTGCTCATTTCTGAGTCACCTTCAGAAATACATTCCAGTGGTTGGGATATCATGATCCTCTCTTTATACATGGTGAAATGAGATTTGGAGTAGTTATGTAACTTGCAGATCGCATAGCTGCAAAGCTATTCCAGACAGGCTTGTGCCGTTTCTTCCAGCTAAGCTCCGTATCTTTCCTGATCTCTTCATTGTTCTGTTGCACTTTTGGGGCCTATGGGAAAGAAACAGACTGGGCATGAGAGACCTAAAGAAGCAAAAAGAATGTATTGCTAAAAGAGAAAGCACAGACTATGTAGGTTTATGTAAATGGTCAGGAGTGGGGAGATAGGTACAAACCTTAGGCAAACTGTGTCCTAGGCCAGGGTGACAAACTGTGGCCCTCAGGCCAAATCCCAAGGGACAGACACGGCTGGCTACTGTCTGTTTTTACATTTCTTTTTGTAATTTTTTTATTGGTTTTAGAGGGAGAGGAAGGAAAAGTGAGAGAGAGAAACATCAACCCGTTGCTCCACTTATTTATGCATTCATTGGTTTGTTCTTTAAAAGAATCTGTTTATTTTTTTTAGAGAGAGGGAAGGGAGGGAGAAAGAGAGGGAAGCAAACATTGATGCGAGGGAGAAACACCGATTGTTGCTGCCTCTCTCAGGCCACCAATTGTGCCCTGATCAGCGTCCCTTCAATTTGAAGGCTGGCGCACAACCCCCTGAGCCACTGAGCCACACCAGCTAGGTTCATTGATTCTTGTATGTGCCCTGAACCCACAACCTTGGTGTATCTTTTATTTATTTACTTATTTATAGAGAGGGGAAAGGAGAGGAAATGGAGAGGGAGAGGAATATCAATGTGTGGTTGCCTCTTGAGCCCGCCCTCCCCCCATCCCCCGGGGACCTGGCCAGCAACCCAGACAAGTGCCCTGACTGGGAATCGAACCAGTGACCTTTGGTTCACAAGTCATCACTCCATCCACTGAGCCACACCAGCCAGGTCATCCTTGGTGTATCTTGATGGCATTCTAACCAACTGAGCTAGTCGGCCATGGCAGTTTTTACATTTTTAAATGGTTGAAAAATAGCAGAAGAAAACTAATATATTGTGACATGCAAAAATTACATGAAATTCAATTTTCAGGGTCCATAAAGTCTTATTGGCTCACAGCCACGTTTATTCATTTACATATTATCTGTGGTTGCTTTGGTGATAGAATGCAGAATTGAGTAGTTGCAGGGACTGTATGACCTTCAGAGTCTGAACTGTTTACTATCTGGCCCTGTACAGAAAAATTGTGCCAACCCATGCCATAGGAGATGACATTCCCACTTAGTCTGTGGCTCATGCGCACCTGCTGCTCCTTTGGAAAGAGCCAAACTCTGGACAGCAGCACCTTGCCCTGGACATTTGAGAGGCCTTTTACTAATTGATTTATTTTTTAAAGTTTAAGGTTACACAGCCTGATGATTTGATTTACATATAGTGTGAAATGATTACCACATTAAGTTCAGCTCACATCTATGTTCTCATATAGATAGACAAAAGGAAAAGAAAGAAAAGGGGAAAAAAAAAGGGGAAAACATTTTCTCATTGTGATGAGAGCTCTTAGAATTAACTCTTCTTAACAACTTTTCTATGTATCACGCAGCAGTGTTAACTGTAGTTATCCCTAGAGAAGTTTGTACCTTTTGAAGAGGTCTGTTTTTCATTTTAGACCTTTGAATTCAAATATAGAGCTTCTGTGCTACAACATTTTCAACACAGAGATTAATGTTAAGTAGACATGTACTTTGGTGTAAATAATGTAGTTATGATCAAAAATGAATAAAACATTCTGATGGCCATTTGGAAAGAACATGCACATTTCTTCCTCAGAGCGTGTGTGTGTTTTAGAAATTTGATCTAGTAATTTGGTTATAAATTTGGGGCTAGGTTCCTGGGAGGAAATTTTTAGCACATTTATCAACGAGTACTTTTATTCTTCAACATTCATTGTAAATTATGCTAAACCGAGAAATTAATTGCTTTTAAAGTGACAGATTTTTTTCTATTATATTTTCGTAGTTTGCATGCACTGTGTGCTTACCTCACTAACTAAAGTGAAATAATAAAACTAATTTTCAGAGCTTTTGAGATTTTAGTTAGCCAAGAAATAGTCTTCCAGGACAGTAGAACGACAAACAGTATGATTTGTTATCTTTATATCGCTTACTAGCCTAAGGCCCATCTGTTGCCTCCTGTTTTGTAATCGTGCTACTGAAGATGGTCTAGTACTGTAGAGCTTGACTGTATCGCAAGAATGCCTCTTCAAAAAATACTGTTTATAATAAAAAAGTAGAGGACCTTCAAATAACTTTCAATGTTTCCCATTCAGGGTAACTTTAAAACAAAAGTCAAAGAGCAGAAGTTTATCATTTTTCTACCGAGAGGAAAGATTTTCATTACATATTTTCTTGGGTGTGCTAAAAGAGGGAAATTGACTTCTGTTATCAATTTTGTTTTTAAGTATAAATATTTATTAAAAAATCCAATTCAGGTTGGTATATATACGTATTTAATTACGAGGTTGAAAGCATTTTTCAGGCCTTAATTGTATCTGTAGCATATTGTAGCAGTTTTGGGAAAATAACAATCTTATTGTTACTTTTTCATTACTATTAAAATATGGATACTTCTCCCCTTTCTTAAATTTATTTCTTAACCGGAGATGCAGTTAAGTGAGAAAAAAATGCTTAATTCATTAGGTTAGAAGTATACTTTGTTTCTATTTTGCTACAAGAAATTTGGTTTAATGTTTTGTTTGTATGGACTTAGAATTAAATTTTGTCTAATGAGGGAGAAAACTATTATATTTGTATTTTTTAAAAGATTTTATTTATTTATTTTCAGGGAGAGGGGAAGGGAGGGAATAAGAGAGGGAGAGAAACATCGATGTGTGAGAGAAACAGATCTGCTGCCTCTTGCATGAACCCCAACTGCAGACTGGCCTGCAATGCAGTCATGTGACCCTACCAGGAATCAACGGGCGACCTTTAGCTTTGCGGGAGGACGCCCAACCAAGCCGCAGCAGTCAGGGCTAATTAGGGAGAAAACTTTAAATAGTTAGCAATCTTTGCTTTTATTTCAAGCACAGTCAACACTGAAGTCTTTTCTGTTACTGTTCTTTTTGACTTTTACTCTTCTGACAAGGAAGTAATAGTTTCTGTGCAAGTTTCTGGGTGACGTGGACACTTCCCAGTCACTATCAAGACAGGCAGAGTCTGCTAGCTATATCTGATTATCCTTTCCCTTTTAGCTGGGCTCATATTTTTTAAGAAGCACTGTATTTTTAATCAGAGTTCTCACTAGAAATGAAAGGAAAAAACCCTTCACATTTAAATTTCAATATAATTCAAAGAATATGCTTATTACTATAAATATACTATATAAAACTTTAAATTCAAATAAGTTTTGGAGGACATACAGCTAAAATGAGGGGCTAAATGGTCAATAAAAGTGTTTGTAACAAACCTGGTTCAGTGGGCCAGAGTTAAAATTAAATTTCATTTGATTGTCATGTTGATTTTACTATTGCTTTTGTTATTTTGCATGTGCAAGACATCCTGGTGTTTATTACATTAATAGCTCCTCTGCTCATTTCCTTTAGGGTTACATTATCAAAATTTTAGAAGGAATTGTACTTATTTTCTAGTTACTACTATTATGTTTTGAAGTTCCTTCCTGAGAGGAAGAGAAGGTTTCCCTCTGAAGTAAGTGCTGTGGTTCTGCCCACCTGTGCTGTGGACAGCGTTCGGTAAAGATTCTTACGCACCGAGGGCCTTTCAAACACATGCAATTCCATCACTCTCACCAGCACCCCGGTCAGTCCCAGACCCTCAAGGGCTCTAAGGAGATATTGAATATGCATCTTGCCTCACAGCTTCACCTCTGTAGGCACAAAAGCAAGTGGAAGAAGTTTGTGGAATTCTGGCAATTTTGGGTTTCTAATCCTGGGACACTGTTTAGCAAATGCCCCAGAAGTTAATTCCAGTGCTTCTTAATTCCAGTGACCATCAAGCCCCACCCCAGAGCCCGTGTCCCATGAGCTCGGCGCTGACATTGACTAGGCTGTTTTGCAGGTTTGAAGCCAGACTTGCATGGGGTCTTAGGGTGTTAGGTGCAATACACTGGGCTAAGAAGGGAGCCAGTGACTTTTAGGTATTTTAAATGTATTCTCTAACTGGTTCTTTAAACATGTAATCATTTCCTTCCTACTTCTAGCAGTATACTAAACACCAGCAGCTATTTTTGCACCTCAGAAAAAATCCAGCAAATACAGAATTTAAATAATTTCTTAAAAACCAAGAAGGTGGCTACCAATCTGCAGGCAGGCTAAAATGCCCCAATTCAATCACCTAGGAAGTCTTAAAGAGCTGTTATGCAGAGGGCGAACCAACCCTTTCATGGAATTTTCCAGTCATGCCTAAGCCAGCTCTGAGGCCCCCTTGTCTTCAGAGGCCATTTCTCTCCTGCTCGAGCCTTGCTGGGTCTTTCCTGGCCCGCGGTGGGTGCCACAACTGTGACCAGAATGCCCTGCTGGTCCAGACCCTCTGAAATTCCTGTCAGCCATGTCTAGAGAAGGACAATTCATCTTTTCTTCTTCGTTTACTTTAAACAGAGTTGGAATTTTTTAAACAGTGATTTTACTAGGTAACCAAGGGCAAAACAAAAAACCTGCAACTGGAAAACCACCAAAGCAAAGAAATGAACAGGCTTACAAAGTAGAGACACAGAGTTTGTACTTTACTCTGACTTTAGGAAGAGACCTGGGTAGCTGGCACCCTGCGGAGTTCACAGGCTCTGTCCTGCTCAGCTTTTCTTCCTCTGTTCTTCCATCCCACTCCTCACTTCCCATCACTTTCTCTTACACAGACAGCTCTTTCTTCTTCAGGCTTGGAGTCCAGGAAGTCCATGGGCGGACAGGTATTAACCGGTTATGAAATA